CAAAAATAAATGACTTGTTTTCATTATTCAATTACCCATTAATACACAGCAATCAAAAAATAACTGGGGACTAGTATATTAATACTGAAAGTAATAGATAATATAAGAGCTAGGTTCACCTTAACTGGCAGTCAAGCTTTTGGTGTTCTGTATTGCACCTGGTTAACTAACCCATGAGATTTTGGTTGAATTTTCTAAGAAGTCATGGTTTAGCACTGGAACAGAAAGTGTGTGTCTGTGATTGTGTGTGTGCGCGTGTGTGTGTATGTCTATTTCCTCTAATTAGAAACGTCTGGTCACTTTGTCTAGCCTGGGATTATGGAAACTAGACAAAGAAAATGTCTTCTGAAGAGCTGTGTATCATACACACACACACACACAGAGGCAGCTTCTTATACACCCAAATATACAAACACACATGCCCTGGGAAAAGACTGTTGTTCAATGCCAAGAAAATGTTCACCAGTTTGATAAATGCTGTGGCCTGGAATTTCAGTAGCACAGTGTCCAGAACATTGAGCTGTCCGTGGAGATGAGAGCACAATCTGGCTCAAAGGCAAGGTCCCTATGACAGGTGGGCGCTGTTCCGCAGCCAGTGCAAGCCCTGCTGGGAGTACTGGACCAGGTGCTCCATGCTGCTGTGCAGGGTGACAGGCCCCATGAGCAGATCCAGGTCGTTGAAGAATTCTAGGGGATGGAGAGAGCCGTTAAAAGTGCTGCATGAGATAGGTGTGCTACTCTGAGCTCAGGACCTGAGTGACTTAAGAAAAAACTCCATTCATGGGCTCTATATAAATTAAGGACTCTTTATACCACCACGTGACCTTAGCATTCCCTTGAACAAAATAAAATTCAAGGATGGAGAACTCATCCTATATTCGAATAAATAAATAAACTATATCTGCCATTTCTAATTCAAATGAATAACATTTACTTAGCTAAATAGCAAACAAAATCCATATCCTCAGACTGCATTCAGCTAGTGTGGTAATGCTTCCCACCCTGAGTGGTAACATGGTTCTGCTGCCCCTTATCCCATGCTCAATTGTGGCACATGCTGAGCCCCTGGAGCGAGTCCAAGGGGAGAGGCTCTCGGCTCCTAGGGGCAAATAAGAGATGGGTACTGGGACATCTCTACTGAAGCCACCTTCTAGCTTCTGGCCATTCTCTGGGTTTACCCTTTCATTAAAGGTTTATTATGTGCCAAGGCACTCTGCCACCTGCAGGGGGTGGAGGTAGGGGAGGATACGAAGATGACTCATGTGTGGGCTCTGCTCTCTCAGAGTCACAGTTAGTGGCTGAGAAAGACAAATGTTCATATGCTACTCTGCTGTCATAGCTTGGGTCACAGAATGACAGTCCATGGAAGTAAGTGTCTGGGAGAAGTTTTACCAAGGTGCGCACATGCATGCTGGGGAAGGGAAGGGGAGGCTCAGGGAAGACTCTGCGTTGCAGGTGGCTGGGAGAATAGCCATGGCAGGAATCCAGGAGCCAAACAGAGCAGGAGGAGCAGCAGGGCAAGGGACCAATGCAGAGCTTGCGTTGGACACGTGGCACAGAGCCCTCTGGTGGGAGACATCTAGCAGGCAGCTGGCAGTACCATCTGAGCCTGGCCCGCTCAGCATCTCCCAAACTGGAGACATACATTTCTATACATCTGTTCCTTCTGTTTTGTCCACCTGTGACATTCACCCCACCCCACTGCAGCTACTCAACTGCTATGTGCTTTTCCAGACCCTGTTCCATGCCAGCTCCTCTAAAGAGCTTCTCCTGGTGGCCTCTGACCTCTGTGGCATTCCCACTGAACTTTCGCAATGCACCACCTCTGGGCTGCATGTTACGATAAAACTATCAGTTTATTATCAGTTTCTTGCACTCGGGATTCATGTGTGCCGTACATTCCTCATCTCAGCGTGACAGCCTGCTCTTGTCCTTAGAGACTTCTGCTATCATGGGAACATAATTTGCATTTAGTGGCCTGAAAGGGAGCTCAGATTTGCACTCTTACCTGTTGTGGGAAGGAGAGTAGTAAATTGGTATAATATTTCAGGAGAAAAGTTAACCACATATATCAAGATATATAAGCACATATATCTTGAGAGAATCTATATCTGTTGACCCCAAAATTCTACTCCCACAACTCTCTCCTAAGAAAATAATCACCTCTTACCTGTTGTGGGAAGGAGAGTAGTAAATTGGTATAATATTTCAGGAGAAAAGTTAACCACATATATCAAGATATATAAGCACATATATCTTGAAAGAATCTATATCTGTTGACCCCAAAATTCTACTCCCACAACTCTCTCCTAAGAAAATAATCAGAAATATGGATAAGGATTCATATAAGGATATTTATGATAACATTATTTGCCACAGTGGAAAAAAACTGGAAGAAATTTAAATGTCTAACAATAGAGAAATGATCTGAGAAATCATAATACTTTATGATTATGTAACCATTACATTATGATAGTTTTATAGAACCATCATAAAAGGTATTTTTGAACTAGTCAGCGACATGAGAAAATGCCTGCTATAATGATAAATGAAAAAAGACAGGATATAAAACTGTATATACACGATAATCTTATTTGGCAAAAATAATGTGTACTTGGAGAAGAAAGACTAGAAGAAACTTTGGTAGAATGTTAACAGTAGTTATTTCTTGGTGGTGAGATTACTAATGATTTAAAAACTTCTTCTCTATAGTCTTCTGTACTTTATAAATTTAGCCACAGTAAGCAAGCATTACTTTTATAATCAGTAAAGACAAACCTTATTTAAAGGGAAACACAGCTTGATGCTACATGTGAGACACTCTATTTTCCGCTGTGAGCAGCTGGCACTAAAGAGCTAGTGACGCTCATTCATTCGTTCATTTCCTCACTCAGCGTTGCAGGGCCCCAGCTGCATTCTGGGCACGGGGCTCGGTCTTAGGAGTACGAAGTTGAATGAAACGTAACCCCTGTCTGAGGGGTCGCACATGCATCCATACCTGTATCTGTGCCTGTCACCACCTGTCATCTACCTCACGTGATCTTCCACAGTGAGAAGAAAGGTAGGTAAAGGCACAGGAGGCCCCGAGTGAGGGGCAGGTGAGGAATGGTTTCACACAGTGGGTGACAGCTCCTACTCTTTCTCCTTTGTCCCCCAGCCCGAGGGAGGCGCACACACCTCTGTTCTCCTTGGCCAGGTTGTCCGCCATCTCCCAGTAGTCGTAGCTGTGGAGGATACTGTTGGTGATGCTGACGTGGTTGGCTGCCATCTGGTGGATGCGCTGCGGGATGCTGACGATGGTCGACGGGGACAGGGTGTTGGCGTTGGTGAGGCTGCCCTGAGACCCCACGGAGCTGGTGGGAGAGGGGTTGGGAGACATGGGGGATGGAGTTCCAGTGCTCCTGGAGGTGAGAGGTAGAAAAACCAGAGTGGAGAGGTGGAGACCAGGCGAGGCGGGGCAGCCCCTGCGGGCACTGAAAGCAGAGCAACGCGTGGCCCAGCATCATGCATTGTCTGGCTTATGGCATTGACTTTGGAAAAGTGAACTTACTTTCCACTGGCCCCCCATGGGGATGGGGCTTGGGCAGCTTTAGATGAATTCTGCAGGAAAAAAACAAAAACAAAAAGCAAAACATGGACAGTGAGTGGCCTCTGCTTAGGGTTAAACACCTGATAATAACATGTTCTCAGCTGACTGTCCGACAAGGAACAGCAGACACCGCGGATAAAATGCAGATTCACGGAAGGCGGACCTGGGCAGTGACACTTACGAGGTTGTTTGCTCCCCTCTGGAAGCTGGTCGGGGCACTGCATGGCCTGCTGGGTCCCGCAGTGCTATAATGAAGTGCTCACTCCACAGCCGGGGTTTTTATGTACAAATTTTAGGTACCAAACGAAACCGTAATCCCGCGGGTCAGCTGATCCTGAACCAGACTAATTTTTTATCATAAACTAGTCTAATTTTTCTGAAAAGGAAAAAAAGAGAAGGAACTCCCTTCTCCCCTAATGAATACCTTATATTTAAATGTAGGGGTTATTTGAAGAAGCCATTGATATACATTTATTTAATGCCTGAAAATATAGAAAACATCAAATGCTATTATTATTATTCTATTTATGAAGTTTAAAAATATTTCTCTTAAGGAAAGCTGCTCTTGAATATTCCTAAACAAATAAATTAAAATATATTTCCTTAACAGAAAGGATATTCAAGAATTCTAATTTATCTGAATATTCTGATTTAGGATGTTATGTTGCATAAGCCAGGTGTTTGCATCACGTGTTTAGAAGAAGTTCTGTCCTTGGCAAGGAAAGTTGCTAAATGCAGTTAAATTTCCTCTCGGACAGAAACCTATAGGACTGACGAAGAAAAAAAAACAGTCTTTGGGATGCTGATGGGACTGTTCCCTTCCAGAGGCAAGAACATAGCCTCAGCCTGGTTTCTGTGGGATAGAAAGAACTTTATGATACGGTGACTGATTTTTCTTGTTTTATTGCATGTGTAATCAAAATAGGAAGCAATGGCCTGTCAGAACTCACAGGGACTGCAGCAACAGCAGGGTATAAAAGTTAGGGTAGAATCGCAGACCATGCCACTGTCTCGGAGAATGAAACCATTTTCATGGAGAGAATTAAAGAAACATTCCTTAGAAGGAGTGCCAATCTCCCCTCTGACACAGTGTGAAGGACACTTTTCTCAACCTGGTGCAGCTGCATCGATAACTTTGCCTCTACTTTGTGATGCAGCTCTAGGAATGCAATGTACGCAGTGGACACTCTGCACATAGGAACACTGCAGGAGAGAGGGACATGGTGTTGGGGTTCCAGAAGCAGTCCAGAGAAGGGAGTTGAAGGGGCAGAGGAGTCTTCAGCCCTCTTCCCCTGTTGGACTGAGCAGGACTGGAGCCATGCTGGGACCTAAAGCTGTGTGGGCTGTGGAGAGGGGAAGGACTATTTAAAGGACAGTTTTTTTCTCTCCACTCTTTCTTCCCATCCCCTGACTTTCTTATCTTGCTGGCTAAGTAGGAAAACAAGCCAAGAAGCTAATTAGCACTTTGCAAAGCTAATAGTTCTTTCTTTGAGACAGAGTTTTGAGAAATGATCAAGGTCAAATGACTGAAGCTGACCTTGGACACCAGCCAAGTTCACCAGCGCAAATCAGAATCTTGCAGGGTCCTGAGATAACAGCGAAGATGAGAACAGAAACCAGATGAGGCCCTGGTGAGACCTTGTACCTGACCCATAGAAACGGACCCCTTGCAGCTCACATCTCCTTGTCTCCTGCTTTTCACCTCCCACATCCCATCACTTCCTTTAAAAAGCTCTCGGTAAACCTAAGTCTTTGAGATGGGATCGCCTACCATTTCTTTCAGCTGAATACATCTGCTTTTCTAACAGCAACCATTTGACTTCTGAGTTTTTTTTCTTTCCTTCTCAAGGGATCGGGGAGCTGGACCTGAGTCTGGTAACACCCCTACTACTAAGTCCTGGGACCAAAAAAACATAGGCAGGAATGAAGTCCTTTTTTCAGACAGCTCTGTACCAATAAAACACATCCTCTATTGCCAAACTGTCATTGTTACCTGCAGGTTTCATAGTCTCTGAAATTTAAGCAGCATTTAAATAGCCTTTGAGGGCCGGCCCGGTGGCGCACTCGGAAGAGTGCGGCGCTTGGAAGCGCGGCGGAGCACTCAGAAGAGTGCAGCGGCGCTCCCGCCGAGGGTTCGGATCCCATATAGAGAACGGTCCGCTCACTGGTTGAGCACGGTGCAGGCGCAACACCAAGGGTTGCGATCCCGTTACCGGTCACGAAAAAAGACAAAAAGGGAAAACAAACAAACAAAAAATAAATAAATAGCCTTTGAAACTTTTTACCTAAAGAGTACAAAGTTTCCGTTAGGAGGAATAAGTTCTGGGAAACTTGCACACTTGAAAATTGCTAAGAGAGCAGCTTTAAAAGTTCCCATCACAAAAATGGTAAGTATGTGAGGTGATGGATATGTTAGTTAACTTGATTTAATCATTCCACAAGGTATACATATATAAAAACATCACATTGTATACCATAAATATATATGATGTCATTGGTAAATTAAAAACATTAAAAAAGGGGCCGGCCCGGTGGCACACTGGATAGTGCGCCGCTTGGGAAGCGCGGTGGCGCTCCCGCCCGAGGGTTCGGATCCCACATACAGACCGGTTCCCGCTCACTGGCTGAGCGAGGCGCGGGAGCAACACCGAGGGTTCTGATCCCGTTGCCGTTCCCCGGAGTGGTACGGGGGCAACACTGAGGGTTGCGATCCGTTGCCGGACACGGAAAAAGAGAGGCGGGAGGAAGCTCTAGCGCGCAGCTCTCGCTGCCTCCCGGTGGCTGCCGGCTTTTCCGAAAGCCTGCCCCTTCCACCTGGCTTTACTCCCTTGGCTTTTTACTTACTTTATTGGGCTATAATTAGATCGAATGAAGTAACAGATACTAATGTGCTTCATAAACAATAAAAACACTATGCTGAGTAGTTTACATCATTTTATTTTCTATAACTATAACATTTTGTATTATATTATTTAATATATTGTATTATATTAAGTATATTAATATTCATATATTATATGGTATATTAATATTAATATACTATATTATAATTAATTTAATATCTCCTTTTTTCAAGCATTTTTCTGGACTGTAATAACTCTCTTTAGTATTAGCTCTTAGATTCTCAATTTCTGAAAATTACTGACCTTGCCTTGAGGCATCCTAAGTAAAGGGAGAGCTCAGTGCCGGTTCTTGTCATTATGTCATGATGGTCAATGGTCCGAGAAAGTTACCTCCTTGGCTTAGCACCTGGCCGTGCCACATGCACAACCAGGAAGGAGGCGGCAGGCTGGACACAGCCCAAGCAACCCCCAACAGAGCTGGTCGTCAGAGATAATCTCTGAGGAGTGGAGGTTGGGAATTACAGGATCTAAAATGATGGTTGTGTATCTGACTGACAAAAGGTTGGTGGAGACAGAGTTGGTGTAACTTCTTTTTTATGCCACATGCACAACCAGGAAGGAGGCGGCAGGCTGGACACAGCCCAAGCAACCCCCAACAGAACTGGTCGTCAGAGATAATCTCTGAGGAGTGGAGGTTGGGAATTACAGGATCTAAAACGATGGTTGTGTATCTGACTGACAAAAGGTTGGTGGAGACAGAGTTGGTGTAACTTCTTTTTTCTATAGTTAAATAGACAGAGAAGAGGCCCAGAAATCTCAAGCAAATTATTAACTTAATGTCCACTACACACAGTACATCACAGAAGGGCTTTTTTCCCCCCTCCCATTGAAAATAATTTCATTCCCTTGAGATAAGTAAAAGTTGGCAATTTACTTATCTTATAGTTACACATTGTTACACATTACTTACATAGTTACACATTACTTACTTATAGTTACACATTGCTATCTAGTGCCTCTAACAAGCCATCTCTTACCATCTTAAATATCAGCTCTATTAAATATTAAATTAGTTACTGGAGACTAGCTAAGAGGATATAGCTCTTTGCAGTTACTTCTAAGAGGAAGAAGCTCTAAGTGAACATGAGAAATTTATGTTAGCTCTAAGGAGGAATTTCCTAGGACAATGGAACAAGTAACTGGATCTTCTTTCTCTTGAGGCCATAAAAATACTTGGATTAGAAGGCAGGGGGATAAAGTCGATGAGCCCTCAAGGCCCATTCTCTGAGCCCTGAAAGCCACAAGTGTGGAGTCCATAACTGAGGTCAGTCTGGAGACCAGAGGTGATCTCTGTCAGCCCCAAAGCAACGGGCTCTAAAACGCCCTTGACTGGAAGACAACTGAATACAAGAACAATGCTGCTCATTAGCCAGACAGTACCTTGAAGTAGTCGATAAGTGCTTTTGAATACTTGACAGCGTGGTCCCTTTTGAGTCGGAACATCCGCCAGTAAAGGAGAGCCAGGCATCGGTAACTGCAGCAGGAAAAGAGGAATGGGCCCGGAGAGCGTTAGCGTGTCCTTGGCAAACAAGACTGAAGAAGATATCTTCTTGTTCCAAGGCACTCAGTATGTACATACATGTCAGAATCTGACCTTCCTTTTGTCCAGAAATACATAATTAGAAACTCCAAGGAGGTACGCTATAAATATATTACCACTAGAGCCCTGCATATTGGATATTAGATATTAGCTTTATCTCCTCTTTGCTGGGTAACAGGGGAGGGCCGCTTTCTTCTCCCACCACGAGAGGGCGGTGTGTGCCCGTGAGAGGCGGGAGGAAGCTCTAGCGCGCAGCTCTCGCTGCCTCCCGGTGGCTGCCGGCTTTTCCGAAAGCCTGCCCCTTCCACCTGGCTTTACTCCCTTGGCTTTTTACTTACTTTATTGGGCTATAATTAGATCGAATGAAGTAACAGATACTAATGTGCTTCATAAACAATAAAAACACTATGCTGAGTAGTTTACATCATTTTATTTTCTATAACTATAACATTTTGTATTATATTATTTAATATATTGTATTATATTAAGTATATTAATATTCATATATTATATGGTATATTAATATTAATATACTATATTATAATTAATTTAATATCAATATACTATATTAATATTAATATACTATATGATAATTAATTTAATATTGATATACTATATATTAATATTAATATACTATATAGTATATGATATACTATATATTTATATAGTATATAGTATATTAATATTAATATATAGTATATCAATATTAAATTAATTATCAATTAATAATTAATATATTAATATTAAATTAGTTATTAATATAATTAATATTAAATATATGTTAATATTAATATATTATATTTAATATAATATATTGTGTTAATTATTAATCATCATTAATTTATCATCCCAATGTGGAACTTAAAGTTTGAAAAGAGCACCGAAAGCATTTCCTGACACTTAGCCTCTTTGCCTCGGCACTCGTATCACGTTTATTTGCTAACGCAGTTTGGTGCTGACATGCTAGAACACCAACACACCAAATACAACTTAGTAGTCTCCTAGATTCCAGATGGCATGATGATGAGAAACAACCTGAGACTCTCTTTTTTGTGTATGTTGCTGTTACGTTTTTTGAGACTCAATTTGATTCTCTAACGAGCAGATCTGGTTATAGAGTGGAATATGAACCTTTGGAGAGCAAAAAATTTCAGATCCCTTTTACAGGAGGGACCAACAGAGAGGTGTCCTGTGATTTGGGAGTAGGGTGAGGTGTCCTGAGGAGATGCCAGGGGGAAAATTATTATCATTATTATCACATATTCATTATCATTGTAATCATTATAATCACAGAAAAAGTCTATTACAAACTGCATAACATCTTGAAATAAATTATTTTGTTATCAAAATATAATGAGCTGCTCCTCAGTCTAATGCATCGCCTTGATTCAGTCAAACTAATCCCACATGTAAAGCAACACATGAATTATTTTGATTGCACCTAAAAGGTTAAACATAACAGAAATTCCACTGAATGCTCAATTTGCATTCAAATTACTAAAATATGGACCTATCTGATTTTAACACACACACACACATACAGAAAAAAATTATCCCTGTGTAATCGACCTGTGGATTTCCAATCTCAGTGAATTCAGATCATACATTGTACAGCAGCAGGAAGTGGTCTGGACTCGCTCTGGTCATTAGGACCACGCGGGGCTTTGTATTTCAGAAGGCACTAGGAAAACATTATGCATTTCAGCACCTGGTTTGCCAAAGAGGACAAATGAGGCTGGGGATGCCGTTCTGCACTGAGATGAGCTACTCACCATAATGCAGCCAGCTGCTTGTCCTCTGGTGTGGCATTGGGGCCCGAGTGGGTTTTTAGTCTCATAGCATACCTAGAAAAAGCAACAACAAAAAAAGCAAAGAAATTAAAAAATGCTTTTTTACTAACAACAGAGCCTTTCCTACGATGGTAGCTCTCTCTGTCCAAGGGTTCGTTTTCCACAGGGCCTGCTGCTCCTGCTTTCCTTCAAGCTACCTGATGTTGCTGCATTTTCCCCAAGCTTCACATTACTGTGATGATGAGAACAAGATGACTTTTATGACGCCTCACTACCTTCCGCTCTCCAACAATGAGTTCAAATGCTACAGATTGTTGGAAGGATTGCCAGTTCAAGAACTATTCATATATATGATAACATGCCCATTTTTCCAAATTTTGATTTGTGGCTGAGTGGCTGACAGCTGGAGGCAAAGTTCAATCCTGCTGGGCTTACCTCCAGGAGAATTTTCATCCCTGATACTCAGATGAGTGCTGAGATCTACCCCTTCCTCTTTATTATGTAACTCTTACTTTGACTGCAGTGTAAGTGTCCTCGGTACTTTTTAATCTATATTTGCCTCTACAGACGTGTTATGAGAAACTAGTGGCTTTCATGGACTACCCTTAATTCCATTTATTTCTCTGAATCAAAAGGACTGTGGCTATTGTTTTCTCCCCAAAACGAACCAAGTTACATATGAGGGCAGTTCAAAAAGTTCATGGAAAGATTCATATTATTTTTAATTCTATTTTTCCACAGATTTCTTGAAGTACCCTCTTATGCAGACTCTTTGGGAGAGCTGAGGCAGTAAATGGAATTGTCAGAGTCCTAGGTTCAAATCCCAGCTCAGCTACTTTTTAGTTGTCACAGCTTAGTAAATGTGTTAACATCTTTAACCCTCCATTTCCTTATCTATAAAATGAGACTAATACTGCCGATCACACAGCATTGTTGTAAGGATTAACCCAGATTGTGTCTGTAAAGCTCTTGGCATAGTGGGCTGGCTGCTGAACTGTTCAAGAAATGATACTGTTATTATCACAGCATTTCTACAGTGTGCAGATCTGCAGTGTTTCGAGTGCACCTCTCTGCATTGTTTTCATCACGGCTGCTCTGGGTATTATACATATAAGGGTACTTCAGAAGGTTTATGAAGAGATTCGTATTATGTTCTAATTCTATTTTTCTATGAACTTTTTGGAGTATGCTCATATATGATATTGCAATTTATTGGTATCAACATCCCGCCACTTTGAGTGAAGTATGGAAGGCCTCCTTCCAGCTAGTGCCTTTTCCTTCCCTACTTTTTTCTGGTTTTGGTGCTGGCTGGTACGAGATGTGAACCCTCGAGCTGGGTGTCGCCAGCACCACACGCTCTCAAGTGAGCTACCAGCCGGCCCCCTGCCCGACTTTTAAATAACACGTCTTGAGTATCAGCTAGTGTTATAATTTTTGTTTCAGTCACCAAACACAATTTATAAAACCCACAAAGAGGGCAGTTTATTGTATGTATCTATATTTCTGTTCTTTCTTCCTTCCCGATGCTCCAAGATTTCTTCTTTTGTCTTTTCCTTTCCTTCTGAGGGACTTCCTTTAGCCAGTCTTGAAGTGTGGGTCTGTTAGAGCCAAATGCTTTTAGTTTTCCTTAGACTGAGAATATCTTTATTTCCCTTCATTCCTGTTCTTTCCTGCAGCATTTGGCAAACGCCGTGCCACATCCTCCTGGCCTCCATGGTTTCAGATGAGAAGTCTGATACCACTCGGGTTGGTGGTCCCCTACAGGTGACGTGTCATTTCTCTCTGGTCTCTTTCAGGATTTCTTTCTTTGTGTTTAGATCTCAGAAATGTCATTATAATGTGCCTTGGCATGCATTTCCTTAGATTAATCCCATCGGGGGTTTTCTCATATTCTTGAGGTGGTAGGTTTACGTCTTTTGCACGGCACGTTTCAGCTATTCCTTCTTCAAACACTCTCCGCCCCACTCTCTCTTCCTCTTCTTCTGGGACTCCAATGACACAAATGTTGGCTCTTTCGTTATTGTGCTTGAGGCCCCATTCATTTATTTTTTCAGTCTATTTCCTCCCTGTGGCTCAAATTGGGTAAATACTCATTTCTGTTCTCAAGTTTATTGATTCTACCCTGTCATCTCCCCTCTACTATTTAGCCTGTCCAGTGACATTTTTGTTTCTGTCATCATATTTTTTCAGTTCTAAAATTTCCATCTGGTTCTTTTTTTAAAAATAACTTCCATTTAGGGCCGGTCCGGTGGCGCACTGCTACAGTGCGCCACTTGGGAGCGCGGTGGCACTCTCGCCGAGGGTTCGGATCCCACATACAGACCGGCCGCTCACTGGCTGAGCGAGGTGCGGGCGCAGCACTGAGGGTTGCGATCCCGTTGCCGGTCCCGGTCCGGTACGGGCGCGACACTGAGGGTTGCCATCCGTTGCCGGGCACGAAAAAAGACAAAAAGACAAAAAAAACAAAACAAAACAAAAAAACTTCCATTTATCTGACAAGACTTTCCATTTTCTGTTTGTTGGAAGGGAATTGTAATTGTGTATTGTAGCATTTTTATGATGGCTGCTTTAAAATCCTTGTTGGATAATTCCAACATCTCAATCGTCTTGGTGTCGGTGTCAGTTGACCATCTTTTTCCATTCCAGCTGTGATCTACCTGGTTCTTAGGATGATGGGTGAGTTTCCACTGTATTCTGGACAGACATTTTGGCTATTACGTTAGGAGATTCTGGGCACTACTTAAATCCTTTCTTTTAGCAGGCAGTCACTCTGTTTAGGTTTAGCAGGTAGGCCCTGGCCTACTTTTGAGGCTGTGGTTCCAATTATAATTTAATATTCAGAGCCTTCCTGGTACTATTTTGGTCTGTTCGATTGATGTGATGCCCCTGGGGCTCCAGCTGGTCCCTAATGGTGGGTTGGGGTGAGGTGGTGGGAGGGAAGTTTCCCCAGGTGGGCTCTTATGGTAGCTGTGCTCCACTTTGCAGTGTCCCTTGGCCCTGTGGAATTCCTTGGTGAGAAAGGAATTCTCCCACCTATGGGGGCAAAGAGTACATCCTAGGTTGGATGCTTCTGGCGAGATCCCCTTTGCCAGTGCTCCTGGTCCCCCAGTGTCTCTCAGTAGGGGACAGGAGGGTCAGGGTTGGTGGGCAGTGTGCAGATTTAGGTGGCGATTAATGCTGTTTTCTAACTCAGGTTAAAAAAAATCCCTTTGCCTTAGTTTGCTGGTTAGTTTAAGGGATTCTATTCTTTCTGATGTATGTAGAAGATGGACTGTGCTCTCTACCTGTGCAAGGTTACTTGCATCAGTGAGCATAACAGGTGTGGCACCCCAGTGCCCCAGGTGTGTCTGATTGGCATCAGGCTTTTTTTCTTGTTGGGATTTGTTGTTTTTAAAAATGTGAATGCATTTAAGCAGGCTTTGATACTCCAGTTCACTGCAGGCTCTATGGCTTGCTTATTCATTCATTCCTCAAGTATTTATTGAGCACATACTATGTGCCAGGAACTGTTGTAGGGACTGGGATACATCCATGAACAAATCAGACAAAAAAAATCCTGTGCTTGTGGCACTCATATTCTAGGGTCTCTTACCACTTTGTACCTATCCTGTTTCACCCACTTCCTTCCCCACCTGCCTGTGAGCATCTGAGACTGAGCTGCCTTTTGAGGAAGGAATGTGAGGATCTAGAACATTTTAGAGTGACTTTTTTTTTTTTGTCTTTCTTCATGTCCGGCAATGGATCGCAACCCTCAGTGTCGCGCCCGCACTGGACCGGGACCGGCAACGGGATCACAACCCTCGGTGCTGCGCCCGCACCTCGCTTAGCCAGTGAGCGGGAACCGGTCTGTATGTGGGATCCGAACCCTCGGCGGGAGCGCCGAAGTGCACTGTAGCAGTGCGCCACTGGGCCGGCCCTAGAGTAATTTTAACAGTTTTTTTACTCTGCTGTTTTCTTTCCTTCACTGCTGAAAATACTGCACCATATTAGAAGATAGTATAAAGGAATCACCAATACATTGGTTCAGTAGAAATATTTTAATAAGAAAAATGACTGAGCAGTGTTGACTTTCAAAACATTCTTGAGAGATGCTTTTTGGAGGTGATGTGTTTTCTGATGTTGGGATAACAGTTTCAAAGGCTGGAAACTATTTATGGAAGGAGAGGGGTGTAAAATACCAACTAACACCTTCACGCCATTGTAGACAAAAAGACTAAAACTTGAGATGATTAGAAATCTTCCATGTGGTATGGTGGGACGTGGTAAGAAATACCTCAGCTGATTTAGGTTGCATAGAACCCCAGAATCAGGACAGCCCCTTAAAGATAGTTTTAGGAACAATTATTTCCCATAATGGAGATGTATTAGACATGATCCCATGCAGTTAAAGCAGCTAAAAACACAAACCATATTACAAAAGTTCTCAGTAGGGTTAATGAATGAAATTCCCTTAATGGTTCATTGAAGAGACTGTCAGGTTGTGCCTTTCCAGGTCTCCACCACAGAAGACAAGTGTCTCCCACGGAACACCTTGAGGTGTCCTGCCAGAAACTCTGCTCCGGTCATGTCACATGTGGTGGGATGTGATGCTAGGGTATGGTGCTCACATACGGGTTTCAGACCAGAACACTGTGAGCAGCCCCTAAGACAGTGCCTGGCAGGGTGGCTTTTCCTTCCATAACCCCCCCTGCCCCCAGTCTTCTTTATTTTCATTAAATGCTCCTGAATCATTTACTGATAGAGTTAAGATTTAGATTACACTAATCTGAACCAGATTTTTTTTAAAAAGCAGCTTCTATAGGTGAAGTGAGTTCCAAATCCACTACTTCCTTGCTGGTGAGGCAGGCATGTCCCAGCCCTTCAGACTCCACGGCGTCCCTCCACAGGCGGGGTCACAGTGGCCATCCCGCATCACTCACAAAGAGCCCAGGAGGCGGGGTGTGCCAAAGCACTCTGACAGTCTCCCATTCGGATTTAGGGGATGAGCTCTGGTTCCTGGTGGCTGATGGTGCAGGCTGACATTCTGTTCCTTGTATTCACAGCATTTACAAACATTCCTCCCCCCCCCCCCCCCCCCCCCCCCCCCCCCCCCCCCCCCCCCCCCC